ACCCATATTCTTCTTCTACATCAATCAAAACAATGAATTGATCATTGATTAGTGGTTAGAATTCTACAAATATGCTCTGTTTAAGATTTGGAAAAAATGTTTGTCTTTTAAGTTATAACCTCTATCAATAATAATAATAAAATGAGAAGTTCTTGATGTTATATTTTAAAAATAACCTGTTAAGTTTTTAATCCATTCTCTTGGCACAAGTGTTTTTTGTGGATGACTCATCTAACTTTCACTGAAGTATATTCAATCATGTGTTAACCAAAAAAGTTTTTTTCTTAATTATCCAATCAGAATTTAGTCCTTGATTCAAATTTGATTTTAGTTTATTTTCCTCTGCTGTCTAAATAATTTTTAGATTCTGAGTATTCTCTCTACATAACCTTTGTAACCTTAATTTGCTATTAATTATTTTACTTTACAGAACTTTATTCCTAACAGCATTAGATCTCCTAATGTTTTTTTTTTTTAATTCAGTGACCTTTATTGAACTCTCAGTTATCTTCTGCTAGCCACACTTCTGTGCCTAAGAAAGTAGTACCGGGAATACTGTTTTGCTGATATTGAGGGAGCCCTCACACTGGAAAAATATCATTTTAGTCACTAGAGGGCGTTTTCCACATGTTCTGATCTCCTCTTTATGGTACTAATCATTAAAAGTAATCTGAGGTTGAAATAGCTTTGCTGTTGTCGCTGTCTATCAATAATAAGGGCTTGCATAGTGGGAAAACAAATAAGTTTCAATCACCAATTGGAGTTATTAAGAAAAAGTTGAAAATAAAATTTTTGACTAAAACTCACAAAAATAGTCATTAATAATTTAAGATGTTGTCACAAAATGTTCAAATCTCATAAAGGTCCATATGTAACAAGTATAAAAGCAATAGTTACCTGTTTTCAAAAAGAAATCAATTTTAAAATAATTAGCACAGAACTACGACTATTACAAACAATCACCTATACAAACCTGCCTGTCATCTACAGTGGAGTTAATAATTACCATATAAAATAAAATAGTTTTTGACTCCCGTGTGCGAAGCACAAAAAGAGTCTTTGCAGTTAGTGTGTCTGTCTGTCTCTGTCTGTCTGTCTGTCTGTCTGTCTGTGTCTGTCTGTCTGTCTGTCTGTGTGTGTGTGTGTCTGTTCCATCGATATCTCAAGAACTAATGTTCAGCTTTCAATGAAACTTGGTATATAGCTTGTCTGGGGCAATGCGCAGATTTGATTAGTTTTTGGTTGACACCCATGCATATTAATAAGTCATCTGCATAATAATGTGTGAATTTTAAGCTATTTCAGTTATATCTCAAGAAGCATTAAAATGACTTTTATGTAACTTGGTAAGAATGTTACTAATGATTGGCTGCTGCAATTCATTGTTGTATTTTACATTTTAATTAAAATTTAGCATTTTTTATGTATTTTTAGCTCCGCTGTTGACTTTGTCGAGCGGGGCTTATCATATGAGTGATTGTCCGTCGTCGTCCGTGTCAATGTTTTACTTTTTCGACTTCTTCTTGAAAACTACAAGCCTGAATGCTTTGATACTTGGTGTATATGTACCTTGGGTAGACCTCTTAGGTTTGTTCATTTCATGATGATATCTTCAATTCTCTAATTTTGGTGAATATTTTTGTCATTTTTGGTAAAAAGTGATATTTTCGACTTCTTGTTAAAAACCAATAGTACAATTGCTTTGATATTACATATATAGATACTACATGTAGACCTTTCTCAGATTTGTTCATTCTGTGTTGATATCTTCAATTCTCTAATTTTGGTGAATATTTTTGTCATTTTTGGTAAAAAGTGATATTTTCGAATTCTTGTTAAAAACTGTAAGGCCGATTGCTTTGATACTATACATATTGTTCATTTTCTAAGGATGTCTTCAGTTCTTTAATTGAAATGTGCATTGCTAACAGCGGAGCTATCTCAGCCGATAGGCTGCTTGTTTTATTTTTTTTTTCTGCCCAATTGCATGAATACAACTAATAGGAATCGGTGAGTGGACTAATTTGCATAATAATGTGCATGCGTATTCTATTTTTTAAGACCAGCAATTTATGATGTTGTCAGCCATTTTGT